CAGTGGCAGTGGGAAGGGTCTGGGTAAGGAATGATAAGTAATAACTGCAGTGGCAGCTATCCCGTGAATACTTACTATGTATCAGGCACTGTTCTCAGTTCTTTACATGTGTCATCTCATTTAATCCTCAGTAACTCAACAAGGTAGAAGATACTCTTATCATCCCATTCTGAAGATGAAGAAACTGAGATTTAGAGCTGTTAAATCACACCTAGTGAGTGGGGGAGGTGGTTATGGAACCCAGGCGTTCTGACTCCAGAGTCCACGCTCTTAACCACTCTGCATTACTGCCTCACAGTATAGCATAAACCATTATGACAATGGGAATACACAGCAGTGCCAAGAGGAACTTGCATTTAGGATCTAGGTTGTCAAGGACAAGGGGCATGTTGGTATTAACCATCCTGCAAATTCCCATGAGCAGCTGAAGTCCCAGTGGTGACAAGGGCCCTGGGGCAGGTATTGTGTACCCTGGGGCAAGAGACAGAACTTTGCTAAGTCCTGCTGTTCTTAATTGGTTGGTGGCTCTGGGGAGGCTCACTCAATGGGATTGGCAGTCATGGATTGAAGGTGTGACTGGAGCCTGTCTGCCATGGTGAAGTGTGATCAGGCCCTTGAAAGGACCTTGGCACTGTTTCCTACCATACCATCCCAACAAGAGACTCACTTGGACTAAAGTAGGGATATTTTAACCCATGAAGAAATTTTTAGGTTTCTATGGAATTTATTTCCCCTCAAATTGATCTGTTACTAATAGTAAATTATGTTCATAACTATTTGTACAAAAATGATTTCAGGCCAGTCATACCAGGATTTTATGTGATATACTGGAAGAAGTTATTTTATGCAGAGAAAACATAGCATACTACTGGGAACTAATTGAATTGGCTGAATCTGACTAATCTTAATTTCATGGTATTATATCACCTGATATAAATTAGCTTTACTATAAATCAGCTTTTACCGATTAAAATTACCAAAGGTGTTAATAAATTTGCACAATTACCAAAATAAAATCACAGTAGGAGGAAAATCATACTGTAGTAACAATAAGATGTAATGTAGAATTTCTTAAGTACTTAAGAGAAGTATTGCTTGTTCATTCATACATCAAATGTGTATCCCTGTGCAGAGCCAGATATGGTGTTAGACACTGGAGGCACCTGGTGAGCACATCAAACAAGGGTCTACCTGTGGAACTTAACAGTACAGTGGGGAAGATGGAGTTTCAACAAACAATCATACAAATATATGTGATTATAAACTGTGGTGCGTGTATGATGGACAATTATGGAGTTTCATAAAAACACATAATGGGGGACTTTTGGAGTCAAAAGTTTTTCCTTAGGAAGCTGAGCCAAGATTTGGAGGCGGTGTAGGAATTAACGAGCAGAAGGGGTGGTAGAAAGTCTTCCAGGTAGAGAGATGATTTGTCAAGACCCCAAAGGTGCTTTTTCTGAGTACCATAATTTTCTGACAGCACTAGATGTCTCTCTGTCATGACCATAGTGGTGTGTTGGAACTGTCCTTCTGTCTGTTTCTTTGTGAGAATGCGAGCTCTGGCTGGGGTCTTTGTTTTTCATTTTTGTGTCCCAAAATTGTCTTGTGTTTCTGGAGATACAAAGATGAATAAAAATTTCACCTGATGAATATATACTTCCAGCTCAAGATTTTGGCTTTTTTAAAGACAGATATTAGGCTGAATCACTTCTGATATTAGACAGTAAGACTATTAAGCTAAGATAAAAGATTGTAGTTTGAACATCTGACAGCATTTGTTGTGAGTTATGACACTGAAAACACATTTTTTGCATTATAGTTTTTTAAATCTTAAGTCTTACTTATATCCTCAAAAAGCCACTCTACATAATAAACAATTTTAGTGTAAAAACTTTACAGTTGGAGAAGGGGGGATTTCTGTCATTGCTTTTTATTTTCTACATTTATAAAGCTATGCATTTAATAATTTGTTACTATATATGCCTCAGCCCTTTTCTTGGTATGAGCTCAAACAGAAGGTCTAGCTAAGTCCAGTAACTGTGACTCAACCTTGTTTAAATGCAATTAAAAAGTTATCCTAATATTTAACATAATCTTTGAGCTGTCATTTATTTTTAAATTATTTAACCCTAAATAAGCATTCTTTTCTGCTAACATGGCTATGTTTTTATCTTATAATATTTCCTCAATTCGATAGATGTAATTTAGAACAATAATGATATATTCTTATTATCTCTTACTTTAGGCTCCGTTAAATGACCCCTGTGCATGTGCCTCTTTTATGGGTTTGAAGCCTTCCACTAGTAAATACCATCTGGTGCGAGCAATATTGGAGTCAATAGCATTTAGGTAAACTCTGCCGTGAACTCCCCCTTCTCATGCAGTATTGCCATTTACTTCATTAATTTGCCACTTAACTGAAAAATTTTAAATTTTAATTAAATTCTTTTTTTTTTTTTTAAAAGATGACCGGTAAGGGGATCTTAACCCTTGACTGGGTGTTGTCAGCACCACGCTTACCCAGTGAGCTAACCGGCCATCCCTATATGGGCTCCGAACTCGTGGCCTTGGTGTTATCAGCACCGCACTCTACCGAGTGAGCCACGGGCCGGCCCTTAATTAAATTCTTTAATGTATGCTTTTAATTTAATATATACTGTGTATGATAAAATCTGTTTTTGTTGCTAATTTCTCTGGTATCTCTCCTTTTTCTCATAGTTGATAGTACCAGTAGTACTTGGATTTGATATCTGAAAATTGAATGATTTTTTTAAATATCCAGTTTCTTAAGCATAAAGGTTCAAAATTTAGATTTTCAAAAGTTTGGTGCCTACCCGTGAAGGAGAATTTAAACTAGTAATGCTGCCATTATATCCAAAAAAGGAATCATCAAAATTATTCTTTATGCATATTTCCCTTTGGTGTTTTTTTGCTTTGGGATGGGTTCAGATTATTAAAATTAAGAATGTGGCTGTCATGAATATGGAATGTTCATAATGTTTAAAATAAAATTTTCTGGGCCGGCCCGTGGCTCACTCGGGAGAGTGCGGTGCTGATAACACCAAGGCCCCGGGTTCGGATCCCATATAGGGATGGCCGGTTAGCTCACTGGGTGAGCGTGGTGCTGACAACACCAAGTCAAGGGTTAAGATCCCCTTACCGGTCATCTTTAAAAAAATAAATAA